GGATGCTGATCGGTACACACTAACTGTAGGTGAGCAAGACTATTGTGCCGTAATACAAAAAGATAAGATACGAAAAAGCCAGACACTAAACATTAGTAACGTATTATGGTTGAAGGGAGAAGATAAGAGGGATGGGGTGGGACAAGGAACTCAGAACACAAACGCAAATGAGGTCGGATCATTTCCATGTCAGTTAGTGTATCCAACTAGACGAGTTCATCATCCTTCGGTCCCTAGTCGAGAGGCAGCAACCGCCGTCAACTTCGAAGTGAGGGACTTCGTTCCTCTCAACCAAGTCATCGCTTCGCCATCCCTCTTCTTCCATCCACACCTCCCGGCACGCAAACAACGCACGTCTCGGAAGTCGGTGGGCTGGTATGCGCAACACGTGGCATAGCCAATGGAGCATGGTGCGCGAATTAACGATGCAGAGCGGTTCACTCGTTCTTCCTGCAACAAATACATTACGCCGAACATGCGCATTGCTCACGCGATGATCGCACCAAACATGAGTTAAGTTGAAAGGCACCGATAATCGAAGGTAACAAACACTTTTATGTCTGTCAAGTTGATTGGCCAGGTTTCGCAACCGTACAGGTGGATTGAACGGACGGCTGTATTGTAAATCTTGCTCTTCAGGGCGAGATTGATGTCGCACCGGCGCCCCAGGTGGCATCGAGCTTTTGCCATGCGATTTGTTATCTCATCTTCGCGGCGCTGATATAACTGCCTATATAGCCGAATTCCTGAATGACGTCAAGCTGATCAACGCTAAAAGTTAGCGCCAGAGTGGATCCCGGCGAATCGTCGGTGCGAAACATAACCCGAAACGACTGACAGCCAATACTACTTGGCATGTCTGGCAGCGAATTCCAAAACAAGGGAATAAAAATGAATCGTCAGCTGTACGACGTAACGTCGCTTCGCTGCCACGCGACCACTATCAGTCGCAAACGGGCTGAGTATACCGCGAGAAAGCCCACTCCTACGCGGATTCGAACCGGTGACCGTATGGTTGCAAATCAGGCGCGCAGACCACTCGGCCACGGGTCGACAGTCAAGATAACAAACGTAGGGAATGGCAAAGTAAATCTGAACAGGAAGGAAAAACATTGGGATCGTAGGACGGAGAGACTAAAAACATCAATGAACAGAGTGCATTGCTACTGCTGACGTCTCGCGTTAGTCCAAAAACAAACAGGGACATTTTCGCTGATACAAATAAACCCATGACCTGAGTCCGGTTGTGAGTGCACCATCAACTGGCCAACCGAAGCACTCCGAATTAGACGGTCGGTGAGTATGAGGGCAAGTTCGACGCAGTTCATGTGATGGCATGTTGATATACACTAACCAGTGGACATCCGCATTATTCATTCGATAGCCCGGTCTGATGTGAATAATGCTTTGCATGCATCTAAGGGCAAGGTCTACCAGCTATTAGATCTTCTCGCTTGTTACGATGCCGAAATATGCACTTAAATGCTCCACAAGACGTCCGGTCCGACCGAAGGAAAATCGGAAGGCAAAGGACCTTGACGGAATAAAGCGCTAACCGCCGCCAAAAACAATGTACAAAAAAGCATATAATGCTCCTATGTATAGGTGACTCAATGACCTACAACTTCTGGAATAGGAAGGTCAACTGGCAAAATCAGCGGTACCACACCGATCCGAGAAATCTTCAGGAAGTTGGCAGTCACACACAGGCCTTGGAACATAGATAGATAGATAGATAGATAGAATAATCGATTATTCGCTGAAATAAGGGATTTTCCGGGAAATTCTTACCTTTTCCCGGACACCAGCCATTTAATACCTTCAAGACGTAGCGGTCACTCATACATGCCCCACGGTGGCATAAAGCTAACCTCCCATCAGCTTGATAGATCATTTGGACTTTGGAGGCCCACACGGGTTCTGAAGACGAGTGTACTGGCCTCGGAAACAGAGTATCGAGGAGTAGATCTTATAAAACGGTCGGTAGTTGTTCAGTGACAGCTGGAAACGGCGGCACCCCAGCCCAATTATGAGGCAGTACATTCGACTTGGGAGGAAGCCATCCCAACGCTAAAGAAAGTGCGCGGCAGTGCATGCGCTTGTGTCAGAGTTCACAAATAGTTATACGGTCAATGCACCCCAGCCTTCTCAGTCGGTCACAAAAGAATAGTCACGTCGGTGGAAGCGAAATAAAGACGGAGTGACACATATTAGACACTACGGAGATGAAACGAAAATGATCATAACAATCCCGATGGAAAGACGCGCGGACTCATAGAGATCGGCGTTCAGCGTTTAGTACAAGGTGATACATAATAAATTATCCAACACACATGTGGAAGATTATCACCAACGCAAACGAAACGAACAGAATGCGGATCTTAATGAAAAGAAGGCGATCATAGAAGGCCACCTGCATGTTTGGGGGTGTTTCAGTACTTGCCAAACGCAAATAAATCATTCGTGCAACCGATACTAGAGTGGAGGTTAGTCTAGACTTCTGACTCAACTCCCAAGGAAACCGATGTCCCCAGGAGTATGACACATGCAGATGGAAGGCGAACAAGGTGTAGCTATAGAGGCATCCCCAGAGACAACAGTGAGAGCGGCCCAACTGAGTCACAGTCCGCATATACAAACGACAGTGGAATTTAGTCAAACTGTCCGTTCCATTGTGAGGTGTACGTTTACATCGGTCTTGTTTAAAGGCAAAAATGCGTGACATCAAAATGATTTGAAAACTACGGTGATTCGGGGAACGACAGTGCATGTTAAATCTGATAAAACCTTCTACCTAAAGGTCCGGTCGACCTGATGCAGACTTAATCAGATGTTCACCCAACTCCATAGATAGTTCACTCAAGGAGACCAAAACTAACCCGCCGTGTAAAATGAATCGGAGCATACTTGTCATTCTATCTAACTGCCTTCTTCACTTGTAGGTCCTTGTCATTCATAAATAAGTCCGATCAATAATAAGACTCGTATTATCACATCAACATTGGAGCGTTACAGATGTTTCTAACTTAAATTAGCAACGAGACGACTAAGTGCGTTTCAATGAGTGTAAACAACGTCTCGGCTGTGAATTCATTACTCGGATCACTGTAAGTGAATAGACAGCAAGCTTCAAAGACGTGTCCCGCGGTGATGTGGATAAGATTCTAGGCAAGATTAACCTCGGAAACCTTATACCACAATGGAGGTCTATGTTCAAGTTCAGAATGATGTGTCTGTCAGTAAAAAAACTGAGTAAGTTCAAAAGATGAGTGCTTCATCAGCGACTGGATAGCGAGCGTAGCACGTTGAACTAGGGCAAGTACCACAGAAAAGGCCAATACTGTCGTCCCGACGTAACCATCTATGATGAAAGATATTGTGATGATTCCGGGTCCGAGATCAGGACTGGTACCAAGTCCAGTGAACAGATGTTCATTTCTAGAGCACCATACTTCAACCCGACAGAACTTCCTAGATGCCTAACTTACTTCGATAAGCATCCCGGTCAACATAGAGAGCAGTAACAACGGCATCTGCAGCTACAGGAAAAAGATACGTGCTCTGCCACGGAAGTGGGCTCAAAGTGCATCCCGGTTGAAAAAATATATCGAAAGTATAAAAGAGTTCATCGCCATCGGCAGCAGCCCACTAACTTCGAAGTAGGATTGTCTACATGCCTCGTAATGGACACGATTCCAGCGGAGGTATACACATGTTTGGGAAGAGATGTCCTGACAGCGGAAGAGTTTTGGTAAAGACAAACACTGCTGATTTGTGGTAACACGGATCGTTGAGGCGGAAAACAGTGTACTGATGTACAAAGGCTGCAGTGTGTATGAACGGTTGTCAACCATCGCTAAAAGTGCAGAAACAGAATTTGCCTAACCTACACAACAATCGACCTATGCAGTAGGAATTAACGCAGTTCGATGGATAAAGTTGTAATCACTTCCAATGCCGTGGTGCGTAGAACGCGAACAAATTAGAAAGACAATGTAGTCAAGAGGCAAGTGGGTAAAAGTGATCCGGCTGAAATGCATTCAGCTGGGTCCCATGGCCGATTATCTCAAGACTCCATGCACGAAGACGGAAGGTACCAACCTGATCAAACAGCGAGGTTAATGTCTCCATGTCAGTCACATTATTGGCTAGTTACCGCGTGGTATCATCCAAGTAGGTGTAGCAAGCCCCAACAATGCAAGACTAGGTAATCGTCCAACCAGGATGTGAATGGAATCATGTAGTCAGCTCTGACATGAGTGCGACTCCAGACGAATTTGAAAAAGTGCACCTAGCATAACTCAATGGATAACTTCGGTGTGCAAAACACGGCGTCATTCTATGGAGCGGCCGCTTTGTAGTTCTTTGCATTATTGCCACAATGATCGCAGGTGTAGACACTCGAGAAGAGGACGTTCCCGCCAACATGGACCAGTTTTCCAAACGTAGCTCGCAAACTTGGTACGTGCAATCACACCTCGGTTTCAATTGCAGGCGAGAATTTATTGCATGATGAGCCAGAATATTTGTGGGTCAAATGTTCGCACGATTGAAGAACATATACCGGTGACTGGTGTACACAAGAGGCCCCAATAAGGTGAGAGAGTGGGGGGAGGGGGGGAGAAAAACAGGCATGTTTGTGGCGAACTGTGTGCGATTCACACAGTGGCACACAGGAGTGCATGAAAATAGTCGTGGATTTTCTGTGAGGTCAGCGCTGTGCGCGCAAGCGTATGTGAACTGTTCAAAATGGCTTCATCGAGTCAGTAGACAGTAGGCACTGCATAACTGAACATCCGTGTATATTTTTTGCAACAAGGTACGGAGCGGTTGTCAGATGTGCGGAATCCAGCGAAGAAAAGAAACTGGGGCACCGCTAGTTCCTAGCACACCTGTACGAGGATGGATGCACAACAGGTTTCGCTGGAGAAAAGACAGTGACCAGACGTTCATATTCGAAAACAAAAGAACTGTCGACAGTACCACCCGACTGGACTCACTTTGAGTTGTTCCAATAGTGCGGTTAGCGACTGTAAACGTCGCTTGCACAATTCCTCCTTGGGTTCCACGGTTTTCGCTTCACCAAGACTGGGGTTGTTACGATACGCATCGATTAGACGGTGCGCACCTTGGCTAGAAGGCAGGAGAAAAGAAAGTGGTGTTTTAATCAGATGGGTAACTTAAAGAAACTCCAGACATGTTCCAATGTTGATCAGCACAGAAATAAAAAACCATACCGTGTCAGACGCAAATCAGCTGAAAGGTGAACAGGGGAAATTTGCACAGAAGGTTCACGCTGCTCCAAAACAAGAGAGCAGATATCTGATTCAAACTAAGAAAACAGGGACTAGTGAGATGGCCCGACTAAGTTGGTTTAGAATGCATGGGTCGCGGTGTGAGCCAGCAGCGCTACTTCCATAGACAAGGCAATACGCAACGTGGGGCCGTGCGAAAACAAGGTGTATACATAACAGTGGGTTTACAATGTGCAAGGATGGACGAGAGAGCTTTCAAAGTCTTGCGCAGTGGTAAATCATGCAAGTGAAGATCAAAATGTCACCAGTGACAAGCAACTACACCGTCCATTGGTCCTCAGTGGTGTACAGCGTGAATCGTATGACTCAGCTGCTGGAGGACAAGGTGAAGCAACGACTTCTAGTCTTCTGAACACCCTGAGCAGATGTGCGGGGACGTGGTCACATTACAATAGTAAGAGTCGAATTCCCCTACCCGTGCAGTGAATGATGGCATGCACCCACTGAACTGCGCTCCAAATGGTCGGTGCAGATTGGCTGGAAAAGTGATCTCGGTGTCGCAATTTCAACGGGGCAGCCTGTTACCTAGAATCTCGTTTGCAACAGCAAGCGATGACATGATCAAGATGACCGGGATAAAAGGAGAGACTGAAAGTGCAGGTAAATACTGCAGAGCGAAAAACTTACGCTTCCTGCTCGGTCCGCTTCACATAGTCCTGCAGATCTTTTAATCGTTCTCTCAACTGAACAGCTGTAAAGTCACAGAGCTAGAAGAGGAATAAGATTGAAGGACAAATAAGAAAGAATGGTTCATATGAAGTACAGAAAGTAGTCACATTGGTAGAGTGAAACAACGAAAGTGCTGTTTGTGAACAAGTATCCGTAGGTGGCACAATGTGGGACGCAGCTGCGCCGCCTCAGGCGAATAGAATAACAATCATCGGAGCTAAAGCAAGGCAGTAAACGCAGATCGCCAATGACCGCGAGATCACATCGTGTCAGGTGCACAGCTTACAGCCGCCCCATTCAACCGCTCGGCATACGGGCGAAGGATAGTTAATAGCACAAAGCCAAGCGCACAGGCGTGTGCGTAATGAATCAGTGGCAAAGATGTAGAAGCACTGTTTTCGCGTTTTGGCAACCAGTGAGCACAAAGCATGTGATCGGTGGGTACAATGCGTTGAACAGAGGAAGTGAAATACCAATTACAGCGGAAATTTACGTCGTAACTGAAATAGGTCTGACAGCAGGACTTCAAATCGAAGCCTAGAATGTACAATCAATAGCATCTGTAAGTGTAGATGATATGGGGAACCAAAGGCATAAAGTACATTCGGAAACATCACTAGGATAATACATTCGACATGCAAATCTACTGCTAGGGGGCACAGAAGGCGGCAATAAAAAGGCATCGAAACGGAGGCCCGACGGTGCCGTGCTCCAGGTAAGCTTGATGCAAGTGTTCACAAACTACCCACCTGTTAAATGTCACAAGTGCGATAATTACCTCCAGAGGAGATGGTGAGCGCAACTTATATGATAGGGTTAACCACAAAATTTAATTCCCATCGATTACAAATTTAGTTCCGCTTTTCCACAAAGTTTGCAGCAACGTGGACACGCTCTGGACCAATTGCAACTTTCGCCCGCAAGCATCCAGACCTTATTCTTTCTGAGTTAAACAAGGTATGGGGTACGTGAGGGTAGCTGTGAGAGCCACTTTTGGTACATCAACAGGCAGAAGCATTTTGTAGACTTTTATACGCTGCTATATCGTTTGTAAGCTAACGAATCAATGATTGGTTTCGTACTGTTTTCCCATGCGCAGAGTAACTGAAATGAATTCGGAGCGACTACGGGTGTGCGAATTCCACCCACTGAACGAACGATGAGTAAGATCACATTTAAACAGAACAAGCTCATCCATGACCACTTCCACGCTTGATGAAGGCGAACTCCTGTGACAGCTACGAGAACGAGAGCGCTTGTGCTGAGTGGACATACAAGGTTTCATGTACGCGAACAATTAACTAGTCACGTAGAGCTTAGGTTTGGTAAAGCCAGTGTTCACGTTGCACAGGCACAGTTTAGAGGGAATGCATTATGTTCTGCTAATAAAAGTAGTGGTGGAGAAAACCGGAAACGTATGGCGCAAACTGTACGCGCGATTAATCGTTAAGAACACTGTGAAGAAGATAGTCAGTAAAATGATGGTAAGGATGGAGATAGTGCTTCGATGTGGATCTACAAGTAAGCGCAAGCGAATGTCGGGCAGCACAGGAGGCAAAGCGAAATTCATCCAGACGTGAGCAAATGTGATCTAAAGAAGCGTATTATTTATGCCGCTGGGCTGAAGGCGAGATCATGCACTGTTAGTAGAGGAAAACTGTAGGTTACATCCAGTACAGAATAATTATGTGAAGCTGGCTTGCCGAACTACCTCCTTGTGGTGCTAACTAGGTGTTTAGGAATCACCTTGTCCCAGCATAGTGTTAAGCGGCAGTGTTCCAGGAGTTGGCGGGCTTTTGTTTGGCAAGCGTTCTCCATACGAAAAGCCACATATGTATGGCTAAAAACAGTGTGACTTGAATAAAGTTACTTCCCTTTGCTTCACCTTGGTGGAGCATTGTACTCTAACAAGTGCGATGACATTATAAGAAAATTTGGTCTCCGTTTGGTGACCGATCAAACGAAAGGTGTATGTAGTGAATACGCGGTCACCGCCTCCCAATAAGCGCGATATTGTGACTTCGCTCCGCTGCCTTAAGGGTAGGTTATTTAGACAACTTCCTACTTCGACTTGAGCAACTGGATAGCATCAAGTACACTAGCAAAACCATGGACCGTTCTTCTTCTAGACAGCGCACAACTACATTTACCTCGGCTAATCGCACACTACCTGTTCACTTGTTACCTTACTTACATCCTTTACCAGCCGATTTCTGGTTTTATGATTCTATCCCAATGGATTCGTCGACGACCACAGAGCTCGCCCGATGGCCCTGCTGCGGCCTCGATCCTCGTTCCGTATGGCATGCTTTAATGTGCTTACACTCATGCAGGTCGGCGTATTTCTGAAGCCTAAATGCAAGATTCCAGCACGGTGAATAAGTTAATATCCACCACTTCCCAAAGAGCCATAGTTCACCTACGTTTGTCTAGTGACATGGAAAGAGGCGCTGCAGGTTTTGCTGGCACTGGTGTATCACCGTAATAAAGTCGAAGCAACAGTGGTTGACTAGTTCCCAATTAACGGCCGACTGCGTGCAGTTTGGCTTCGGGGATCATGCAAAAGCAACAGATGTAAGGAGATACGCAATTTGTTGATGATCTCATCATAGGCTCCAATTAAATTCGGTTGCGACTCTACGGAGGAGGATTTTTTTATCGTGAACTCCACCAGATCTTGAGCTAAGCTGACAAATCTGATATTGTGGTCTTTCCTGGGGATCTCAACGTACGGGTTTTAGACTTCTACTACCCTGCGAACGTCACCTCAGCGGTCACCATGCGTGTGAGGAGGGCCGCTCAGAAAATGGAGAGAGACTTATCACACTGTGTAAAGAGTACTGTTTACTTTCGACCACCAGATGCAGACATACGAGGACACGATCCACTATATGGCACTACCATTCACCAACACAAGTATAGTTTGGATTCAGATGATACGTAATGTAAGAGATTACAAACAAGCAAATTGCATCCCTAAAATCGCGTGCTGCGCGTAGAGTGACCAATCCAAAACCAGCTGATAGTAGAACAAATGACTACACAGAGCGGAATGGTATCGTTACATTTTGGATTTGTCATCTAGTGAACAGTGGCATTTAGCGGTGTTCACGCTCCATGGATGCAACTCGAAAGCGGTAATGACCATCTTGAGAGATTTATGGAGGAACAAGATCTCTTAAAGGAGAAATTTGAGTGCCATGGATGCAATAAACTAAGAAAAGATAGTTTACACAGATATATATATATATATATATATATATATATATATATATATATATATATATATATATATACGGTTGGCGGCAACCGGTTTCGGAGTTGCCTGTCACTGTGGCCAGACACAGGACGCCGGTGCTTACAGAGGGACCATGCGTGGATTGCGCTGCACCACCCACACCTCCACATACACCATATCCAGTGTAAACCCGAAGGAATAAGACAATGAGGCATGTGGATGGGAGCCAGGTTTCATCAACGGAGCCGGCCCACACTCCATCACAGGCACATTGCATTTGGGGAATCAAGCGCACACAAGGCGGTGGCTGGAGCACAGTCCGCTCCACACTGAGTGAATGGAACCGCTCTTCGAGCCTAGCATGACCACAAGGACCGTGCAACCCGTCCCCTCCAGCAAAGACCAACTGTCACATTGGAGCCAGTAGGAACGAGGTACTGGGTAATAGACAGGTAGGCACCTTGTCAACATGCACATCAAGCGCAGCCACACAGGGGATATCAAGCAACAGCCATTCACTTGAAACGACGAAATAAAATAAATCCAATAATGCAGACAGATACGGTGGCATAACTCTTCGCTAAATTACCATATGAAGTAAGTTGATTAGCCACGAATCCACGATAAGTAAGAAATGTTCACGTCATTTAAAAATGCCACAAACACAACAGTTATCGAAGATAAGCGAAATTAACGTAAGCAACGTGGGCAGTTGGTAGATTATTCAGGTAGGCAGAACAAACCAAATAAATCGGAATGAAACTTATCCAACTTTGCTCCATTTTGTGAGCACGCGTATTCGTGATGGAAGCAGTCAGTACTATAGATGGTGGTATGAGTTTTCGAGGTTGTTAGCATATATATATATATATATATATATATATATTACAAGCCACCAATGGGATGAAAATCCGAAATCGTCAAAAAGAAAGTGGCAAGGTGCATAACGAACGAAACCGGGGATAAATAAGTATTCAGAGAAAGGATGGAAAAGCAATAGCATAGCTGTTTCGGATGACAGTGTGAGCACACCTCGCGTGCGTATTCCAGTGTGCATCAAGGCAGCCAGAAGCGCATTATCAATTCACAAGGTCGCATACGGTTTGAAGACGTGCACGCCGTAGGAAAATAGTTCCGAGCATCAGTATGGATATCTAGACAAAAGGAATTTCATGTGCGGACTGCAGAGCAAAATAACAATAAGAAAGGCAAACCTTATTTAGAATTTACTACATCATCATCATCATCATACACGTTAGCTAGAGGTGGGGAACACCTCAGCTACTGTGCCGCAATACACGGAAAAAAGGAAAAAAACAATTCAAGTGGGGCAAGCCGGCTGAGCTACCGGTAACGGATGGGCATCGTTCCGGTAAGCTACCAGCCGGCTACTATGCATCAATAAAATTACTACGCAAAATTATATAAGGCTAAATAATGAGTTCGTGGTTGTAGGGGGAGGCTAAGAGGGATGGGGTGGGACAAAAAAAACCAGCATGAACGCCAATGACGTCCGCTACTTGCCATGTCAGCAAGTGTGTCCAACCAAACGTGTTCATCGTCTTTCGGACCCCAACCGGGGAGCCGAGACGCTCCAGCCAATGCCAGCTCAGAAGTGAGGGCCTTCATTCTGCTCCACCAAGTCATCGCTTGGCAACCCCTCCTCTTCTTCCATCAACACCCCCGACTAGCAAACAACGCACGTTGCGGGAGTCGGTGGGCTGGCATGCGCAACACCTGGCCGAGCCATCGGAGCCTGGTGCGTGAAATAACGGTGATGAGCGGTTCAGTTCCTTTTCATGTGCCGTAAACAAGGCGTCGAACACGCTCGTTGCTCACGCAGTGTTCCCATCAGATGTGAGCTAAATTACGAAGGCACCGGTGGTGGAACGTAACTAGCCTCTTCAGGTCCGCTGCTTTAAGCGGCCAGGTTTCACAAGCGTACAGTACGGTCGAACGTACCGCTGCATTGTACACTCTACCCTTCAGGGCAAGAGTGATGTCGCGCCGGCGCCATAAGTGGCGAAACTTAGCAAAAGCGCATCCAGCTTTTGCCATACGGTTCGTGATCTCATCCTCAATCCCACGAACGCTGATACAACTTTCCAGGTAGTTGAATTTTTGTACGACTTCTAGCTGATCCCCACCAACGGTCACCGAAGAAGGCGGTCCAGACCAATCTTGGAGGAACG